CAGCCAGCCATGCTGGCTGGGGAATTCTGGAAGTTGAAGTCCACACATCTTAAAGTGGCCACATTTGAAAAACACTGATACAGAAGGTCAAGATATATTCTCTATTTCCCAGTATGTAAGGCGTGGAACAACAGTCTTATATTTATGAGAAGGCAAATGCCAGGTGAATGATAGGAAAGCCATCCAACAGCAGGAACTATTTAAGGGAAGTGGAGGTCTGTCCCCTTCACTGCATGTGTCCAAGCAGAGACTAAACATCCATCTCCTGGAGATGCTTTCAGTTCCTGCACTAACTGATGGGTTGGACCAGATACCTTAATGGCTCCTTCCCACTCTACGGTTCTATAATAAAGCGGCCACAGATGAAGGCCCTTTTCACTCTGCAAGTCTGAGATTGTGAGTGAAAGCAAATTAATTTCTCACTTATTAGACCTCAGGCTGCACAGAAGGAATCCTAGCTGGTTCGTGCTTGTGACTACGGTACACCCTTTTTGTTCTTGGCAAGCACAAGTGCGATGCCTTTGGACCTCCTTGAATTTAACAGGGTGTATAGCTTGTTTATAAGGACAGAGGATCCCTAGTATCATAATATCCTGCTTCTACCCTACCTTATCTCAACACTGGCTAAGCTCCCAAGATGCTGACACAGACTTTCACAGCAAAATTACTGAGTCTCTACGTTTCTCAACCTTGTCAACTTTAAGGTGTGGGGACTTCAACGCCCAGAATTCCCTAGGCAGTGGCTGGGGAATTCTGGGAGTTGAAGTCCACACAGCTTAAATGTGCTGAGGTTGAGAAACACCACTCTACACATATTCTGCATATACTCAAGAGGCCCTTATCTTTGTTAATATCACAACAAATATCCCAAGTTTCTAGAGACCCTTGGTTCAAACCTTATCCTGGGATAAGGAATAGATCCTGGAGAGATATCTCAGAGAGATAAGGAATAGATCGTGGGAGAAAAGAATCCTTCTGTTTTTGTTGAAAGGTTGAACTCACAGTCGGATGGCAGCCCGTAGATGCAACTTCTCTGGGCTCTCGCTCTGATTCATACTAAACAGGGTGCTGTCAACGTGGGCAAACGTCTCCAGTGATGATGGGGATGCCGCTGCGGCAGCGATGAAGAGCCACCTGCCAAGATACTGCAAAGATGAGAATGTGGTCACTTCAGCTTGAATGAGGAGAACGTGATTCTAAATCCCCCAAGCTTTGTTTCTGGGCAAAATCATGGCTTAGGAAAGGGCCATTCTTTCTCCAGCAATCAGATGTCTTTTGACACATTTTCAACCCCCAGAGTATCAAACACTGTCAGTTCAGGGCTGGAAGAGAAAATAGAAAAGAGTGGGCGAGGAAAGAGCTAAGCGTTTCAACAGCTTTCTCATTGCGGAAAATAGAATTCCTTGTAATCTGGCAAATTGAAGGATGGTATATCAATACAACGGAAGGAAATAAACAAAATAATCTCTGCCCAGCACTGCTTTTCCCCAGAAAAATCACCCATTTAGCATTCAGTGTTTGCAATTACCTGGTATTATGGTTTGGCTCATTGGACAATCATTTTAAATAGATATTCTCACATGCACCATATATACCGAAGGGCTCGTTAAAGAGATTCCTATCTAATAATGCCATGATTATATGGTAGCTTCACAGCATAGGTAAACATCAAGCCTACATTTTGCCTTTCTTTTTATTCTTCCCTATCTTTGGTTTTTTAAAAAGTATTTTACTTAATAAAAAACTTCGGAGGAACTGAACGCTCATACAGTCTTCTATTGATTGGATTAACCCAGCTATAGCTGATTTTTATGAAAATGGACAGGCAATCATATAGAGTCTTCACCCATCATGATGTAAGGAAGCTTCTCATACTGCTGCTTTCAAGATGTGATGGGGTTAACTGGGAATTCTAGGTAATCCCAACACACCGGGAGTCATCAGATTGAAGAAAGCTGGTCTAGTTATTCCTGGACCAAACCACAAACTGTAATTGATCAGACAAAAAGCTTTCTTTCTTGGGGTGGATCTCAGCATAAACTCTGCTCTATTCATTGCTTTTCTAGTAACAGTTCTGAAAGCAGAAACATGCTTCCCCCCACCCCCCGAAAGTCTGAGGCTATATTATTTTCAACAAGACAGGTGGAAAAATACAGACCTCTAAATTACGGTCTGTATTAGTTAGTAGAAAGTACGTACTATTTGCAGTGTTGATCTCAGGCAGCAAAATACCTTGGTCTTGGCTGGTCTTGCTTCAGTTAAAACTGCTTTTGCTTGGAAACAATGCTTTCTGCCTCTTTCCAAAACACCACCCTTGACATTTAAATCACACAAGCACTAGACTGCATTTGCAGAGGATTTTTCTAACCAAGGTCGAAATCCATCTCAAAAAGTGGGCTTTCCTGTCACCAGGGCGCTATGCATTTTCAACCCAATTTTTTTTTTTTAGTATAACTTAGAATTTATTGAGGATTGAGGCAGTAGATCAATCGCATAAAGAAATAGCACATATTACCTGATCTCATCAAAGTGGAACATTGCATACATATGTACACAATATTGTGTACATGTGTACAAAAGTATATATTACCAGATCTCATCAAAGTTGGAACGTTGTGATTTATAAAACTCAGATTCACCAGCTAGGTAAGTTGGAGACTAGGTAAGGGGACACTGGTTTGAGTCTACTCTCAGCCTTGTAAGTTTACTGGGTGACTTTGGGCCGACCCCATAGGGCTGTTGTGGGGAAAAACTGGAGGAGGAAGTGCTATATACACCTTGACCACCTGGAGGAAAAGTGAGATAGAAGTGTAATAAAATAATAACAACAAATACACAGTTATTCATATGCTTTTTCTCCATCTCTTTTCATGCCTGCCACTCACTGGATAGACCTGAGGCTTGGAAATAGTTGGATTTAAGTGGTTTTCCACAATAACCTGCAATTATTGACCCTAGCATCCTGCCCAGATTTTTTTTTTTTTGGTTACCTGTTCTCGGTTCAGCTCATTAGCATGCAACTTCACTGGATTCTCACAGAGGGAAACAGCATCCATAATGAGTCCATAGAGGTAGAGGAGACAAGTCCACAGTCCCTCCATTGCTGGAGCTATTAGTGGCTTGCTCTGAGAATCGGTCTCTGAAGGCACATCTTGTACAGCTCACCTTTGCCCCCAGCTTGTTAAATGTTTAGCCCTCCAGGGTCTAGAGTCCACTCCGCACTGTTGGGTGGTTCATACTGGGGGCGAAACTGAAATCCAGAAGGACCCTACCAAGCGTGGCCAGGGGGAGGGAGCCGGAAAGCAAACAAGCTGAGAAGGTGCATTTGATGAATTCTGTAATGTTTCATGGAGGTGGGAAGGTAGTACTTGGTTAGAAAGGGATTTTTCTCTGAGGTTAGTTTGGTCACAATAGGAATTTTGCTATTTTTATTTTATTTTGGTTTTCTCCCGCCCTGGGTCATCTGTTCCAAAAAAAACAGTTGGTTAATTTAAACTAATATGTACTGTTTGCCATTCCAAAAGTTCTTTGTCCACCTGCTCGGTTTTTTGTTAACATCACAGGTCTTCTCCTATGCACAGTCCTGCGTACTGTCTTCAAAGCCAAATTTCACAGACATCTATACCAGCAGTATAGGGATTATATGGTTCTATAAGAACCCGGAATCCCAATGTCTTTCAAGGTATAGTGCACTTTACCTTTAATTGGGGCTACTGTTCTAGATAGAAAGCTATTACATAGGCTATCTGCTGTAGATCTTTCTATTTGTGGTTTACTACGATATCACACCTTCCATCTCAGCCAGCTGCAGGATACACTAACCGTGTATCCCATTTCTGTGGCTCATAGATTTTCCTCTGACCATGATTGCTAAAACCGAAAAGTGCGGTTTCTCGTTATTTTGATGGGGAAGAAGATAAAAACTGTAACATAAACTCTAAAATAGGTAGATCGCATCTGAAAAAAACCCCCAAAGAACATCTTCAACACTTCTTTCAAACATCTGCTGGACTGGCGTGGGTGATGTGACCGACCCAACTCGTGGCTCTGTGCCATCCCAGAATTTCAGGTGTGGTCATTGCCTGTCTAAAGGCTGCCTGCTCCTGACTAAGATGAGTGGGTTACTGAAGAACAGGAATGGAAGTTGGATCGGAGAAGTCTACTGTGCTGACATGCCAGGAGGTCGATGTCAGCCTGCTGAAGGCACCGAAGTGATTGTTTGGTGGGCTGTAGAGTGGGGCTCTGACCCGGGACTTACACACTTTCGCTGGCATCGGAGGAGAGGTGCCCAGCTAGAGATTTTCCATCTTGGAAAGCATGGTGCACTGGGCAGGCAAGAATTTTGGTTCCTGAAATGCCTGCCCTTCCATCAGAGAAGATATACCTATGTAAGGCCTCTGCTTTGTGAACTGCACTGGTTCCAGGTGCTAGTCAAGGTTTGTCAACTACAAAATCCTATGTAGTTACTTGAGGGAGTATCTCCCTCTTTGTATATTCCAGGTTGCAGCCATTAACAATGCCATCTGTAGAGAGTAAGGAAGATGAGCTTGACAGAAATATACAGGATCTGTTGCGTAGACAAAAGGGGGCAGAAACATTTTTTAAGTCCAGAGAAACGAGATAACATTTGGAAGCGGCTCAGGCAGACTTCTCTCTAATTCAGTGGAGTACAGGTAGTCCTAGTTTAGCAACTAAAATTGGGACTGGCAAGTCAGTTAAGTGGTTGCTAAGTGAAACCATGACTGTGCTTATGGTCTTCCTTCAGCTTTCCTTTGCTTTACAGACCTGCGAAAGTTGTAAATGCAAGGATTGGTTGTAAAGTTACTTTCCCATCACTGTCATAACTGCGAATGGTCGCTAAATGAGACAGTCACTAAGCGAGATCTACCTGTATAAGAAGGAGGAGGAGGAGACACAGCACAGTTAGAGTTGCAAGATCCTGTTAATATAGCCAACCTCAATAAAATAAGTTTTAGCTTTCCTGTGGAGTTGACTTCCTGGTCCGATCTACCTAGTAGGGCTGACATCAATGGCATCCCCCACGACTGGACATTTAGCAGGCCTTGGGAGCACTGGATAGGAAACAGGACCATTGCAAAAAGGTATCTCAGTCCTGGGAAGTTGTTGGGGGAGAGAAAAAGACTCAGAGTAACTCTGCCTTAATCACAATAGGTATCAGTCAAAGCAGGAGGGTTACAACAGCAGGCTTTGAATATTCTGGTCTTCCTGCACTAGCAATAAAGATCTTTCCAGAAATCCACAGGGTCCTTGTTCTTCTAATTCAGTGTTTTTCAAACTTGGCAGCTTGAAGATGCGTGGACTTCAACTCCCAGAATTCCCCAGACAGCGAGCTTGAGAAACAAGCTTGAGACAGCGAGTTTGAAAAACAGGGTTCTAATTCTTTGGTTTGCAACCTGGGTGCCCAGAGTGGTTGAGATATTGGGCGGTTTTGGGAATGTGAACTGTAAGCAACCCTAACTAAAACTAGTCGCTCAAGGAAGTAAGGGTGGAGGGAGATCCCTCTTTCGAACATCCTTAATGACACTGATTTAGTCATCCAAAACATTAGAGCAACAGGCGCAGGCTTTTGCAGCCGTTCCCATTGGCCAATCGTTGCTAAGCGACGAGCGAAGACAACGATGGAGGCGAAATGACAGTTTTTCATACAGTATTATCTCCCACAGCTCTCCCCCTCCTTTTCCTTCATGTTAGAGGGAGAGAAACCCGCAACAAAGATGGCGAACTAGGCTTCCCCTTCCCGGGCCTGCAAGCGGGGAGGGGGCTGATAAGCTTTTCCTAATTTAAATAACATGGCGACCACAAGGGTTCGACCCCCTCCGCTTTTTGTTAACGGCCCCTTTCCTACCTCATAGGAAACGTGTTATGTCATCTCAAGAGCGCGCGGACGTAAAGCTATTTGGCTCCTCCCACCGCGTCCGAGGCTCGGCTAAGACGTTCCTTTGGCCGTGCTACCTCAGTTCAGATGCTTACAATTATTTTAAATAGTATATAGTATATGAACTGAGGAAGGTGTTTTTTTTTTTAAACAGGGCTGAGGAAACTATTATCAGCACCTGGGATTTTTTTTTTCTTTTCCTACTGAATTTTTAAATTGAGAAGCGTCGGGCACTCCTTTAGGCAACTACGAATGGGAAATGGAATAGTCGCAAGTAAAGGGGCTTAGCGGGCTCCCCGCGCATGCGTAGTGGCAAACAGCCCGGGAACGCGGAGCTTCGGAAGGCAGGAGCCGCTCCAGCCGCGAGGCCGGCGGCTGTTTGGCCCCAACGCCCGCTTCGGAGCAGGATTTCGTGGGAAAGGAGCTGCGGAGGGAGAATTCGGCAATCGGAGAACCTCCTTCGCCTGTGGCCGCGGAGGGAAGCGGAAGTACTGCCATTTTAGAGTCCAGGGAATCGCATCAACGCAAGCGTAGATCATAGAGGTAGAGGTGGGTAGAGTGAAAACAGGCCCGCTATTTCCGGCATCAAAACTGCCTCCTTATTTACAATCCCGGTCGGAACGGCGTTGCTTCTATCCCAGCCCGTCCACGGCGACCGCGCCTCTTTGGGCCTCGCCTTGGGTGTAACGTTCAGCCTGAGATCGGCGAAGGGGACCCGGAAGTGTATCGTTTTCCTCTCGTTTGCTAACTCTATGGAGCGAGGGCTCCCCTTCTGGTTTTTTTTTCCCCTTCCCCTTCCTTCCTTCCTTCGGCAGGAAGTTTTTGTGGAAGCGGAAGGGGAAGCTTCGTGCTGGAGTCGATTCCTGTTTGACGGGAAGTGAAAGGACGGAGGGGTTCGGGGTAACAGATCGTAGGGGGGAGGGAGTGGAGGGGACGGGGGGGGTCCTCGTGTTGTCAGAGGGCCGACTTGTGGTGTAAAGGCTGCCAGCGCTTTGCCTCTTTACGATCGTACCCTGTGAAATAGGCGTAGGGTATGGAGAGCTGCGTGGGAATGTCTCGTAGTCTGCGGCATATGGGGTGAAGACGATATGGGGAGCGAAGAAAAAGGCTCTGCATCTTAGCAGCCGTGTGATCTTTGCCTTAAAGCAGGCTTGCTAAATGATGGTCCTCCAGATGTTGCGGGCAACAGGCCCCATCATTGACTAATTAATTTATTAAATTTGTATGCCGCCCATCTCCCCCAGAGGGCGGCTCATCCTTGGATAGGAGTCATACTGGCGGGGGCTTATGGGACGACCGCCGCTTGGCCTGCCTCTGCCCTGGGAGGAGGCCGAGCGCTCACAGTTCAGGCTGAGCCCCGCTAGCCCTGTTTGGACCACGGGCTGATGGGGAGGGTCGGTTGCCTCCCCATTTGCAGAAGGTCCAGTGGCTGGACTGGAGTCTGGGGGTGCGCCTTCCTTTTGTCGGTGGTGGCAAAGGGTTGCTCTCTAGGAGTCTTGGTGTGCTTTTTGGGTAGGTAGGTACAGTATTCCTGCCGATGAGGTGTTAGGCACGCGGCAAGTCGGAGAGGAGAAACCGCCGCCGTTCTGAACTGAAAGGAGACAATGGGCAAATTCTGCTGCTTGGCCTAGAGGACATTTTATTCTCATCCATACGGGTTTGGGGAGATGGGCTGAATCCACTCTAAACTCTTTTAGATTTTCTATTGATAAAACACTACTTAGACACGAGCATGGGCTTATTCCCAGAGCTCTTTAATGGCTTACTTTGTAAACTCCTGGCACTGGAAAAAAATGTTGATTAAAAAATTGCAATGTTAGGCTCTAGGTCAGACGGTGTGAACCAAGAAAGATGTGAGGTGTTTTTCCAGGAGCTCAAGATACTGTACTTAGGTAGTTAACATACTGTGACTTAATTAGAGGGATTACGTAGTGAGCCTCATGGTTGGGAAGGGATTTGAACCTAATCCTTTCTGGAAAAGGCAGTAATGGCTGCCAGGAGATGAAAGGTTGTAAGGAATGTTAGGCCCTATGCTTTGCAGAATGAGGTTCAGCAGCCCTAATCCTAGCCAGGTTTCCTATCTAGTAACATTGATTTCTGATTACTTTTATTAGCAAATGGGTAATTGTAGTCTCATTTATCTGTTTATAAAGCTGAAGGATAATTTTTTCATGCATATTTATTTACATCGAAATATTTATTTAAATCTAGTTTCCTCCAAGGAGTAGGACTGCAGAAATATCTTTTTTTCTTTAAATGAACATTTTAGTAATCTGTGTTTTCTTTCTCCTGTTTTCCATCCTAGGGTTTTAGATCATCTTTTAAATTGCTGCTTGTCAGGTCACTGGAGGTCAGTTAGAATTTTTTCCAGACCATGGAGTCACTGCATAAATGGATTTCACCTTTCTTCTAGGCCACAAATATGATTAACCTAAGCATATATAGGTTGGTGGCTAGACAGTTTTGTGGAGTTATTAGAGAGCTTTCCTCCATGAAGAAGGGAGACTTTATACTTAGTCAAATCTTGTTTATTAGGTCCTACAATGGTCATTAGGACTTACTCTCAAGAGTACTTAGAATTTGACCTTTAAATTTGTTCTGCTTCCTCACATTCAAGGTATGCAGTGAAACTATGGATATGCCGAATATTCTGTCATAGAGTATTCTGACCCTACAACATTATCCTAGAAATGGTCCAACCTTGAATGGGCCAGTTTTGGGTTCAGAACATTTTCCAAACTCCTAAATAAAACTCATAATGGATAGTTGAGCTAAGATTTTTGCACTGCAACATACCTTTCAATCCTTCCCAGGTGTACATTTTTTAATGTTTTCGGTGCTGCTGTTGCAGGAGATGCAAGCTTTAGGCAAACCTGGAAACAAAACAGTTGATGAAGAGCAGGTGCACAAGAAATTTCTTAAGTGCACAAGAAATATGTAGTAATTATAGTAGGCCAGTAGGAGTGGTGTGGACAGAATAGTAAAAGGAAACATAAGAAAGGAACAGATTTATTGTGGCATAAGGTCTTGTGGGCAGAAGTCATTTTCTCTGAATAGCAGAAATGCATGTACTCTTTGTACGGTATAAAGGTAAAGGAGATAAAATGTAAGATGTGTGACCTATGAGATTTCTCTACAGCACCAAAAAGTATACAAGATATATACAGATTAATGTTTAGTATCAAAATATTGCAAGCCTTTTGGCTCTTTTGTTTATAATTTTTCTTTATAGTTAGTCACTGAGTTAAGGAAATATTATGTATAGAATGAAATAGGCTGATTTTGGTGAGGGCTTATATAGTATCCTTTAAGGTGCCACATGGTAGGGTTTTTTTAATGGACTACAAAGCTGTCACCATGAGGCAGAACAGGGAACAGATAACCAGTTTAAAATATTTACTACTGGTAAGGCTTGACGCCATCAGAAGATGGAACAAGTTGTATCTAAGGAGTAAAGTTCAAATTTCCCAAACACAATTTCTCAACAAACATGTGTTTTTAAGAAATCTTAACAGTTTTTCCTTATTTAGTGCCATTATTAGTGTAGTTGCTTTTCTAGAAAAGTGGAAGTCTCCAGTCAGCTGTCACTGATTTTTGGCAGAATCGTAGATGTTTGTCATAATACTGCTTCAAATTTCTGGCACTAGAGAGTTAAGCTGCTGGGATTCTGGGTAACATTGACAGGGTTAGGAATGGATCTTTCCCCAGAGGGACAATTCAGAGTCGGTGTGAAATGATTTCAGATTCACTTTACCTTTTTTTTTCTTATATATGTTTTGTATTATGCTCTAAATAAGAATGTAAAATGGTACTTTTTTAATTTTACAGTTTGATCATACACCCTATGGTTTATGATGGCTTTTATATAAAACTTCCCTAAAACACAGTCTAAGGAGCCACTTGGAAAAGCAACTCTCTTATTTCTTAGATATTTCTTCCATTTTCTGGGAATACTAAACCTCTGAGTTACAATCTTCATGAATGAAATTTACGAGTTTTCTTGTTTCTTACAGAAAGATCTAAAAAAGCATTTGGTGGTTACCATGGCAGAGTTAGAGAACCTTGAGGTGATGATAAAAACCTTGGACTCTCAGACAAGGACCTTCACAGTGGAGGAAGAGGTAAGATCCCCTAAATTTGGATTGCAGCCGGAAAGTAGATGGTAGTGTTGCTTTTATGTCTGGACTGGTATATCTCAGCAGTGTTGGTATCCCTGAGCCTATTTGCTGGCCAGGAAGAAATATAAGAGAATTCTGGAGGGGGCTGGTGTGAAGGACAAATGCAGTAACCTGCAGGCCAGTGTGGGGTGGAACAGTGCAGTTATATTTAATCCCACTAGGAAACAAGAAATTATACAGGTAGTCCTTGTTTAGGAACTGCCTAGTTTAGTGGCTCTTCGCAGTTATGACAGTGATGAAAAAGTAACTTTATGACCAGTCCTCACATTTACGATGTTCTCAGGTCTGTAAAACAAAGGAAAGCTGAAGTAAGATCATAAGCACAGTTGGGCTTTCACTGGGTGCCCGCTTCCCTTAATGACCGAGTTGCTGGTCCCAATTGCCTGTACTTATTTGAGGTATCTGGTACAGGATATGGGGTAGTCAGGCAACTTTTATTTATCTTTGAAAGTTATATATACAGCTCATTTAAAACTAATGTATTTAAAACAAGTTGCTGGGAGTCAGGTGGCATATAAATAATAATAATTATTGTTTCTGTTAAACATCTGGGATTGTTAGAGGGGAATGGCCATTGTATTTTTAAGAACCCCTGTATGCCACGGGGGCAAGTTAGGTTTTACAGGGCAAGCGGTACTGCAAATGTTCCACTGGCAGCAGAACCTCCTTTCTGCAGACTGGTGAACATGGAGACATATTCTTTGGGCTGGGCTGGTCTGAAGTTGCTCATGGCAACTTGTTGCCATGAGCAACTTTGTTTTATTGGCAGCAGTAGCCAAAATTTCAGGAGGATTCCCCTACCGTGAATCAACTCTTGGGGGCGGCAGTATGATCCCATCTCAACTACTGGGACCAATGGCCAGATATTTGCTGATTTGGTCTTGGAAGGTTTTAATCTGAACTTGCTTTGCCTCATCCAAATCCTGACACCCTCCAGGACTTCTGTGACATTTCTATAACATTGTACCTGCCACAGCTGGATGATTCTCTGGCACTTGCATTTTTTATGCTTCCTTCTCTCTGTACAGTATATATTTTCACTCGTGTTCTAGATCACACAGTGTGCTGGCACTATATAGAAGCGAGGAACTTCCTGGTTTGTTCGTATTTTCTTGGGCAGATGCCATAGAGGGACCAGGTTTTGGCAAATGAATAGTGGGAAGAGTTTCCTCCTGGTTTTTTTTTTCAGTTTTACTTCTGCTCTGTAGATCACAGTGAAAGAGTTCAAGGAGCACATTGCGGGCTCAGTCAACATTCCCTCCGAAAAGCAACGCCTCATCTATCAAGGGAGAGTCCTACAAGATGACAAGAAGTTGAAAGAATACAGTGAGTAGGGAGCCAGGAGAAGGCTGCGGGTTGGAGTGAACAGGGAAGAGTTGGAAGACGATGAGGGGTTCTGGCCCAGGGAATGGCCATGGATGAAGTGCGTGATGGGAAAAACACCCCAAAATACTAGTGGTTCTTTTCCAGAAAGGCTGTTTAGAATGAAATGCATATTTTGTGAAATGTGCTTGCTCCTGAATTATTTTGGCAGAGATTCATAACTGCTGGGCTATAGTGGAGTCCAAAAGTGTTGAAATAAAAGTTTGAAAACGGTCTTGAGAGATTCTGGTTTTAAACAGAGAAAGGAAGTGGTTGCCTCTTTCCCTACCAATTTTTTTCTTGCTAGAGGTACACATGTACATTTTGGACATGCCTTTATCTCAGTCCCTGATTAAGGACGAGTAAGTTTTGAGCAAGAAAACAGCTGGTACGGAAATGGGTAAGAATCTCTGCAGCTAGCCAGTTTAGTTAAATTCCCTGAGGGTGCTTTTCATTTACACCCCCCCCTTTCTTTTTGAAGGAAAAAAAAGCAGTCTAGGCTTCCTTACATATATTTGCAAGAGATGGACAAGCTCTACAGTTTAAGAATGGTTCACTGTATAATCCAGGCTTACTTATTCAGGTGTTCAGGTCCAGATAAGGGGGCATAGAATTGCAGCAGAAGCATCAGCAGTTTGGAGGTTGGTGAAATGCAGATCAAAGCCCTGCACGGATGCACAGTTCTTAGGTTGGGGTTTAAAGCCAGCCAGGTTTGGAATGTGGAGTGTTAAGGAAATCTAATCACACTTCCCATTTTTTTGGCAGATGTTGGAGGCAAAGTTATCCACTTGGTGGAACGCGCACCTCCCCAGGCCCAGTCTCCCTCCTTGGGGGGGCCTTCAGGAGCAGGCTTGTCCTCTGTCCCTCACAACAACACAGGACCCCGCGGGTCAGGTTCCACTGTCCATGACCGCAATGCCAACAGCTACGTTATGGTGGGAACCTTCAACTTACCAGTAAGCATTATGGACCCACAGCCACCCACACAAGTGAGTTTTAGCCAGAGAGTGTTCCGCTGCAGGGCAAGGGGAAGTATCGGGCTCCCCGTAACGCTTAGCCCCTTCCCCTTAATCAAATGAGGAAGGACTTGCTGGTATGCTGCTATGTGGGGAGGGGGATGAAGGGGGTGCTTATTAGCTTTGGGCTCTTCCTGTCTGCATTGGCACAGAGTGGAGTCAGTGCCAGCTGTCCTCGAACTGTCATTTCTGAGTTTGAGACATGTGTTTCGAATGACTTTGGTGCAAGCAGAACAAAGCCTAGTCTGGCTGTCCCTCCATGGCCTCACCACATGGCTTTGTGATTTCTGTGTGTGGTGCAGCTGATACGGACAGAGGATATTAGATATGTGGGTGAGACTCTTGACTGTAGCATGATGTAAGGAGATCTGAAGTAGGTTTGAGTCACCCACAGGACCTTCTCCCTGTTTCTTGGGAGATCTAAAAGAATAGTCCTCCAGACTAAGAAATGACAGTCCTGGAGGTATATCTACTGGGGGCTGGTCAGGAACAACTTTCTCTCTCTCGTCTCTTTCTCTGTATTCCTGACTTGATGATTGCCCGGGTAGCCTGTATCATCTTAAACAAGGTTTGGGGTTATATTTGCTAACAGAGTGGCAGCAAAGCAGGAATCAATGAGGTATTGCAAGGGCCCTTTCTGAAATTACACATGCTTGTTAATATGCTTTGAATGATAAAGGTTAGGGACGTTTATTACATGATTTACGTCCTTGAGGATCCATGTTTCTGAGTGTGCTCATTTGGAATTAAGCCCCTCTGAAGTCAGTGCGTTTTACCTCCAATAGATGTGTGTTGGATTTCAGCCTAAGAATTCCAGACCATCTTTTCAGAAACACATTTCTAATTATTTGTTTTTGGTGTGTGGAAAAAAAAAATAAAGGAAACAAAAATTAGCTAAAGAATTCTAAAATTCCCTCTGGAAGTTGTGATTCATTTTGAAATTGCTTCGTTTTACTCCTACACCGATGTGGTTTGGGAGGTTATTGGAATCTTGATATATGCCATGATTTCACAGGAGCATAAACATGTTGAGAAGAGTGCAAGAGAGAATCTCATGAGAAGCACACTTTGGTATTCAGAATTATTTTGAGAAAGTATCTTTCAAGTGTTGTGTAATTTCAAGAACCTACCACGCTGGGTGGGGAGCAGCCTTGAATGATGTGGCAGTTTGATCTACTGGGTTTTTTTTTTCTTCCTTTCTGCTCTGTTTTGTCCTTTTCTCCTGCATCTACCTCTTTTTTTTTTTGTTCCTTTTAATTTTTTTCCTGTCTATTCCATTTCTCACCCCCTGCTTTCCAAAGAACGATGGATCGTCTGTGGATGTTCATATAAATATGGACCAGGCTCCTATACAGGTACAAGTGGGTTGGGAAGACTAGAATTTAATGTAAAAATTAGAGGATATATTAGATATGTGGGTGAGACTCTTGACTGTAGCATGATGTAAGGAGATCTGATTAATCGAGAGGTCGCTTAGCTTGTTGTTTGACTTCTTTAAAAAACATTTTTTTTTATTGTTTTATGGAGATTTCTGAGTAATGTAACTGCAGGGATGAGCCCTTTGCTCATCATCTCTGCCAGACTTGACTTGGGAAGTGTACCCTTTTCCTGTGTTCTCAGTTGCAGCAGTCCTGATTCATCCCCTAGACCCTGTCTACCCAGAGAATTTCTACCCTTTTCCTTCCAGGATTGGCATGGGCTAACTTTGTCTGCTGGCCTACAAAACAGAATAACTGGCAAGGGGTCATCATGAAGCCAGTGACCTGGGCAGTGGTTGCCAACCAACTGCCAACTTGGGCACTTGGGTAGGAAGGATAGCTACCGTTGGAGCTTTGTTCATGTGGTGAAGGCAAATTGTATTGCTTTGCACACACCTCTAGTCCTTGGGATTGGGTCTGTGCAGGGGATAGCTCCAGTTTTGGAGGATATATTTGAAAAACTATGCAAAGAATTTCACAATCAGCAGGCAGCCTAGCCAGCTGTGTGTAAATTGGCCCCTCTCCCTGGTCAGATGGCTAAGTGCCATCTTTTCCAAAGCTGAACTTTCAAGAGGGTATAATGTCTGGGGCCTCTGACAGCTTGAATGAGCTGCTGGAAGGCAAGACACCAGATTCTAGACTGAGAATACTGGAGAAAGCATTTCCTTTATCAAGGGAAGGAGCTAGCGATCAGCAACTTTTTTGTGGTGAGGAGCCACATAAGAATTGTTCTGCAACGAAGTATGTAGTGGGTGATGTCACCAGAGTGGCTGGCCCAAAACATTTTGATCTTTTGTCCTTTTTGTTTAAGAGGCCTATTTTCCTTGTTCTTCATAAAAAAATATTGTTCTGTCAGATTCCCTGACTTGCCACTGAATTTCCATAGTGTGATTTTTGGGGTCTTTGGATTGCCCTCTCTAGTCTTTCTGCTTGTGACATGTTGCTCTTAACCTTGTTTGGAAGACCCCCCCCTCCCTCTCTGCCCTCTAGGCCACCCATAATTCCAGGAAGGCCGCAGAGTGGTATGGCTAATTACAGCTGGGTTTTTTCCAGTAACAATTATACATCATTTTTTAAAATTTCTGATATGAATTCTCATGGGTTAATATTTAACCAATCCAGCATTCTGCCCAGAGGCATTTTTGGCCAATGGCTACTTCTTGACGAAGAATAGGGTTCTTTCCAACCCTTGTTTCGTTTCCTTAGCAGCCATTCCGAAGCATTGAACCCCAAGGGTACAAAGTTCAGGGTCTTGCATAGGACGTCTTCTATGTTTCTTTGGAGGAATGCCCAAGAAACCTAACTGCATTTTTCATTTTTAAAAGAAAGGAATTGAGGACTGTTTATACCAGCCTTCCCCAGGCTAGTGCCCTCCCAGTGCAGCTTCTGTGAACTCCATCCCGTCACGATGCTGACTGGGGGTGATGGTGGGCTCATACTTGGGATGGCTGTGTTAATGGAGTTGACGTATAGATCCAGTCAGATACCAGCTGAAGGCCTGAGTGGGTCCTATGATTGAATCTCAGTGTGAGAAATAAGAGAGAGGAACCAAAAGTCACAAAGACCCTCAGTCAGAAAGCATTTGCAGCTCAGCAATGATGTAAAAAAGCCTTTTTCTTTGCATCCTAAAGAGCTTCAGGGAGGAGCTTCATTGGGCCTTTGATGGGGGAAATGGGGGCACTGTGATATGGAAGGCCTGATGTCTCCGTACTCAAAGGTTATTAGCTCCCCCATCTGCCTTTTCTGTTAGATACGGAGGTTTTGTTTTAGTAGCACAGTGGGGTCTTCCTGCCTGAGGGCCTAGCAGAGCCATTATGGCCAGGGGAGGCAACGTGTGGCTTGAGGGACCAAGTAGACCCAAGCGGAAGAGCATGCTGGGAAATAAAACTGGCAAGGAGGGGGGATGAGGGCCGATTTGGAAAGAGGGTGTGGGGTGAGCGGATTCAGCCATGGGAGGACAGGAGGGCATGGGTCTGGCCTTAAGGAAACCCTGAAGTGGGTAGAGTCTGTTGTACCCAAGGAGGGATCTACAGGGCTGGAGGAGTTCTGAAGCAGGGAAAGGGGGTTCTGTCAGGGTGGGTCCCTCCTTTTGGTAATGGGCATTTCTTTCCTCCTTGCAGAGTGAACCTCGTGTCCGTCTTGTTATGGCCCAGCATATGTTACGGGACATTCAAGGTATCCTGAACCGACTAGAGGTGAGTGAATTTCTAGCCCTGGGGAACGTGAAGCAGGAATGTAGAAACGCTGCCCGGAAACACCTTCCAGGCCCTGGACGTCACTGGTCCCTTTTCTTCAGGGTTGTACCAGCGACCATGCTGCCCCGGGACCAGAGGATACGCCATCTGCCAGCCCCACGGAAAGGGAGCCAATGGCAGGTGCTGAATCTGAGCCTCCCAGGGAGCCCACGCCAGCAGAGGAGACGCCACCGTCTGGGAGCGAGCCGCCCCCTGGGGCTGAGGCAGCTGCCCCCAAGTAAGGAGGCCGCCCACCAAAGAGATACAAGAACTATCTTGGGTGGGCTGGGTGGAATCCCCCTTTCAAAGGGAAACCAGCCATGTGCTGCAGACTGGGGCAGGGGGAACTGTGGGTGGAAGCCATAGAGGAGTGCTGTGCCAAGATGGTAGAGGGGCAGCCTTGAGGGGCTGGAGGGAGACTGGCTGTGTCCCAGAGGAGGCAAGGGGCAGGCACTGAGCATGAGGGCCCTCCTCTGTCCCCATAGCCACCCATCACCTGGAGAGTATGTGGAAGTCCTCGGGGAACTACGTGGGTTGGAAAGCAGACTCCAGCCCTTCCTGCAGAGATACGAGGAGGTCCTGGGAACTGCCGGCACTGCCGACTATAACAACAACGTAAGAGATGTCTGGTTCTGAAAACTGAAAATGAGCCTCTATCCTGGGAAGCTACCCTTTCACCTCTTGACTTATTTCTGGATTTGCTGGGTTTCCAAAGTTAGTCCAATGGTTTTTTTTACATCTGAACCATTTTCATCTGGCCTTCGCTTGAAGGTGTGGGCTTCCAGAGGCCTTTGTTCTGGGCTCAGTAGTTCTTTGATCTGATCCAGCAAGGCCTTTGAGTGATTTTTAGGCTTTGTAAGGAATGGAAAACCTGCTCTGGCTCCCTCAACTTCCCCTGCCTTTCCTTTGCCAGACGGAAGGGCGTGAAGAGGACCAACGCATCATCAACCTGGTGGGGGAATCGCTGCGCCTTCTGGGTAACACCTTCGTAGCGCTCTCGGACTTGCGCTGCAACCTCTCCTGCAGCGCCCCCCGCCACCTCCACGTGGTGCGGCCGATGTCCCATTACGCGGCTCCCATGGTTCTACAACAAGCTGCCATCCCCATCCAGGTGAGGACTTGGCCCCAAAGAGGCCAGATTTGGGTGTCTTTCCTCAAGACAGAAATGGCTTGGGGCACAACGCTCGTTCCCAAGGCAGGGTGACCCGGTTCAGCAAGGGAGTATCCAAAGACACTCTGCTTCTTACCCTGTGTTCTTGCTTCAGATTAACGTTGGAACCACAGTCACCATGACGGGCAACGGTAGTCGCACTGTCCAGACCAACTTGGAAGGCTCTGCAACTGCCCCGGCTGCACCTCCAGCCCAGCCTCGCACCTCCAGCCCTGTTGAATCAACCCAGCCATCCGAAGGCTCACCTCCTTCCCTCTCCCCAGGTGTCACCCCTATTCAGACGCAGGCCTCTCAAACAGGGCACCCGCGTGTAATCCGCATTTCACACCAGACGGTCGAGCCTGTGGTCATGATGCACATGAACATACAAGGTGAGTTTGGGAGACCTGATGGAGACGGGGCCTGTTTCTGAAGGTTGTCAGTGACCTATTTCCGAAAGCTGGCCATTTGTGTGCAGGTTGGAGAGAGGATAGAGCGGGTAAAAATGCTGGGGTCCCCAGAAGTGAAAGTGGGGCCCAAGTATGTACTTTCTGATTCAGTGTTTAAAGTGATCGCACTCATTAGTAGTCTTCATTTGTGGTATTAAATTAGTCAGTTAAAATGTAATGCCAAATGTTATTTCAGTTTTTCCCCCACATGTTCCCACTTCATTTCAGTTGACAAAAAATGTGGAGCAAAAGTTATATTGTTATATAGGATGCAGTGAGGGGAAGAAGAGGGGGCTCAAATAATATTCTTCTCTGCCCCCTCGCTTCTTGGCATCTTGAAAAAAAAAACAGCTTGCTGAACTTTGGTTAAAGCCATGTTAGTTGGGTGGGTGGGGGTTGTTACCTGAATTGAAATCCAGCCTATCCAGAGGACACGGCATGGGAGAAATTGATCTGCAAAACAGGCGGCCTTTCGTTCCTGAGTCCCAGTTGCTTTTCTCCCTCTTTAGACTCCAGCTCCCAGCTGGGTAGCGGTAGTTCCGGTGGAGTGCCATCGATGGGACCTGCTGGTCCAGCTGGACACTCCCAAGGGATGGGTAAGGAAAGCGGTTCCCTCTAACCTGGGGCAGCTGACACGCTCTGGCAGTGCGTGACCTGCTTCCTGCCCTGTTGATCTTGCCTTGTGCTCTGTTGGCTTCTCTCTAGGTAGTGGTGCTCACATGCCACTTCCCAGCCTCCCGCCAGAGTTCATGCAGGCAGTAGCCCACCAGATAACACAACAAGCTATGGCAGCAGCAGCCTCGGCAGCAACAGGTAGCAGCAAGGGAGGGGTGGGAGCATCCAAGGGGCGTTCCTCCTGGAAGGGGGAGTGGGGAGGAACTGCGGGGTCCCCAAGAGGTAAGCCTCCTTGTAGGCGTGCTAAGGCCCTGGTCATAATGTTTTCTCTTCCTCTTTTCTCTAGGCCAGCAAGTCCCCAGCTTCCCGTCAGCTCCAACACGTGTAGTGATTGCTAGACCTTCTGCTCCTTCTGTGCGGCCCACCCACTCAGGGCCTCCCCAGGCAGCAGGACAAGGGGTGAGGACCAAAGTGGTTGGAGATTGGGGCGATGATGTTTCTGTGTGGTGCTTTCGGTCTCTCTCTCTCGAAAAACAAACGACCGTCTTTTCTTGCAGGGCCCTGGCCTGGGTGGGAATGCCTCCTTGGCCCAGATGATCAGCGGATTGGTGGGACAGCTTCTTATGCAGCCTGTGATAGTGGGTAAGTGACAGACAGGAAGCAGGAGTGTCCCAGAGTGTGGGCTGAGGATCTTGAGATGCAGGAGGGAGTTTATTTGAAACTTATTTCAAGGAGTTGTGTCTGGTTCATCTAGTTACTTAAATAATGGTGTGTCTAGTTCCATGTTTCTTAACTGTGGCGGACTTCAACTCCCAGAGTTCCCCAGCCAGCACAGCCACTGTTGAGAATTTTAGTAGCTGGAGTCCGGAAGTTGCCCAGATTGAGAAACACTGATCTGGTAAATGTTGATACGCAAAGCAGCTTTTTCTCAATAATTGTTATTTGACTAATGGACCAGAAAATGGGAGGATTTTCTTTGCCTAGAAATTTACTCTGAATGGAGGACTAGGTTACTTTGAGGGTTGGGGAAAAGAACAGGAAGTTGCAGGGTCCGCGTCTGACCTAGTGGTTGATGGTTCTACTTGGGGAAGGGAAGTGAATCCACAGCAACCTCGCCTAGAGTAAGTGAGGGATCTTGAAAGGCTTGATGGTGGGCTGGGCGTAGTCTGTCACCTCCTGCTCTTGCTTGATCCCAGCAGCCCTCTCTGTCTTTCCTTTCCAGCTCAAGGCAGTGGGGCTTCCTCATCGAGCTC